ATCGATGTTAATGAGGTGAGAAATAGAAAAGTTAAAACATTTAATGAAATTTAAGTTCTCGATGAAAATTCTACGAATATTTACTGTTCGTCACTCATCGATGATTACTATCCAAATAGACCTCAGGAATAGAATCATTGAATTTGTACGATTTTGCCAGATTCTGGGAAATTACGAAACAGATGTCAAATAATGACGAAGTCAAGTGTTACAAACTGGCATCGGTTTATTTTAAAAAAAACGAAAAAGGGTTATTTAATTAACCATTATCGATTTAATATAAAAACTGAGCCCGAAAAATACTTTTACTCGCTGCTTCTTCTGTTCAAACCATGGAGAGATTTGAGTGAACTCAAAGGTACATTCGAGACTTACACGGATGCCTTTAAGAATTCAGAGTCTGTTTTAACGAAGGCAATGAAATATCACGAAAGGCTCGAAGAAATACAGAAAGCTTTTGAGAACGTTGCTGAATTAATCGAGAAGCGCGAAAATGATCTGAAAACAGCAGACAGAGACAAATCCGATGACGATGAACTGGATTGTAATCCGATAGAAGCTGACGACGCGATGAAAGATCTGGAAGATTTTGGTAAGATTGACGACCCGATTGATTTATCGCAAATGATGTCGCAATTGAACGAAGACCAGAAAAGAGTCTTTGATGGAGTATGCCAAGTTTTACAAGATAAGAATCAGATTCTGCGACTGTACGTAAGTGGCGAGGGTGGTACAGGGAAAAGTTTTCTAATTGAAACGATTAAACATTGGATCAGAATAAATTTGGAAAAAACGACTGCCATATCTGCTCCCACGGGTATCGCAGCATTCAATATCGATGGCTTGACAATCCATAGAATGTTTCAACTACCGTTAGTCATGAATCTACACCAAAATATACGCAATTGTCAGACATGGTCTTGAAAACTTTGAGAGACAAATTAAAGAATGTCGAATTATTTATAATCGAAGGAATTACATGTAACAATGCAATGATGGATTTAGGAACGACTGTATTCAGTGATGGTCAAGCCTATGTAGGTTTGTCACGAGTAAGTAAATTGGAAGGCCTACATTTGATAAATTTCAATCCAGCATCAGTTAAAGCAAACTCGAGAGCCATTGTAGAATATAATCGACTGAGATCTATATTCAAATCTGAACTGCCACAAATCAATCCGTCCGAGAAAAAGGTTGTGAAAATGTACGATCGTCGATGGGATATCCCTAATATCATTGATGATATGCAGAATTATGATTGTGAGGAACCAGAAAGTATAGTTACGTGGAAAATATATGGCCTTTGCAATAACGATGCTGTTTCGTGTTACGCTAATGTAATATTACAATGTGCGTTTCATTGCGTACGTATTAGGCAACAAATACTGAAAATAAAGCATCGAATGCATTGATTGATGCTATCTGCGCGTATGGTGAACGTAAATATTGCAACATTCAAGCGGTTAGAAGATCTGTCGGAAAACGCTTCGAAGAACGAACACAACAAGATGTTTCGGAATTTTTTACGGCTCTAATGTCGACGTATTCCGACATCAATGATGTATTAAAACTCGAATTAAAGCACGTAACATGTTGCTCGAATGTCAAATGTAATTACAATGTAACTAAGCTGGAAAGCAGTAGTTTGTTAATATTACCTATACATTCGACATTAAAAAGGAAAAAAGGTGTCACTCTACAAAGTTTGATTAATGTAGAATTTTCTAAATGGGAAACGATAAACGGCAATTGTAACGAATGTAAGGGCACCGTGTTGAAAAAGAAAACCGTAATCGAATCAACTTTATCCGTCGTAGTAATACAGCTCAATTTATATACTTTTGTAAACGGTGCTTCTAAAAAAATTATCAACAATCGGATTACCGCCGTGCCGACGAGTAATATCACGATTAATAAAAAAAGTACAAGCTAATAAGCGCTATATTTCACGAAGGTGAAGAAATGAATCGTGGTCACTACACGTGTATGTTGAGAGCTGACACAAATCGGAATGGTATTACTCTAATGATATGGAAGTGTTCAAGAAAAAATGGCCCAAAGGAGCACAAGGGGCATACATATTGTTCTTAGAACAGATTAAATAATGGCGCTGTATAAAGGCTGCTGTAAACGCTACATTAAAACATCAACTGTTCTAGCGCTGTATAAAAGTTGCCGTAAGCGCCAAAATAAAATATCGGCTGCTCTGGCGCTTTATAAAAGCTGCTGTAAGCGCTGCATTAAAACGAGTGCAATAAGTTTCTAATTTGACCTAGGCTTCATGACATTTCAAAAAGTATCATCAAGAAAAAAATTATCAGACAGAAATATGTATGTCGTGTTAAAATCGGAGAGACGGAAGAAAAATATATGGTTGCGTTCTCACGAGAATGGGCGATGGAGGGGCCCATTCTTTATTTTCAATATTCATACAAGAATATAAATTCATTCTGTTGCAATTGAAATAAATGTGCAATGTATCGTTAAAAGTTATTACAATTATACAAACATTTACATATATGATTAAATAAATATATATGTATACTATAATATAATTATATATTTATATATGTACATATATACCATATATTTCAATTATTTTGAACTGTATTGCATAATTGTTTACTTATACAAAGTATGTGATAAGAATCGAAAATACATATATTTGTGATACTTGAATTACTAGAAAGCTGCTCTTATATATCTGTACTTTAAAAAGTAAGTGATATCCTAAAAAAATCATAAAAATGAAAAGGTCAGGCCATGTTCAAAAGAAGGTACTCAAAAATTTAAACGATCTAATAATAATTATCACGAAAAGTAACTGATATGTTATTCAAGGTGCCAGTTCAAAGTGAACATACGTAAAGTGTATATTATCTAAATTTAGTAATAATATATTACCATGAAAAGTAACTGTGATATTTTATTCAAGGTGCAAGTTCACATTGAATATACATACATACATATAAGTAAAACTGATTACAATTTGATTCTAGAAAATAAGTGCGATATGTTATTCTTAGTGCACAAAATATAATAGTCGTTTATAGAGATTTGATTTGAAATTCATACTAGCCCGTACAATGAAAAATAATTGCTCGTAATTCCAGAGTACCAATTGTTAATGACTCAGAAAAATAACATGGCGGCCTGCTCTCAAAAAACTTTCGATGGGGTAGAATAAATAATTGAAATAAGAGTGTGAAAATTGTATAAATTAAAAACCTCCAATCTTTCTTAGTAAAATTTCGAATTTGTATCAACTTCCGATTTGTGTTATACCGTATTCAGGGAGTAAGTTATTGATCAGAAAACTTGCCTTGTTGCTCGAAAAGGGTGTATATTAAGTAAAATTATAAATGTACAGTTCTCAGGTCAACTACAATAAGCTATACGCTAAAAAGTTTACTGATTATTTGTCGTAATATACAATAAAAAATTACATATTAATTATTCAAGATACAAGTGAGAAATAAAATATCATTAAAATATACAAAAAAAATTATCAATTTGACTCTGAAAAGTAAGTGACATGGTTCTCAAAGTGCAAGGTTTCATGAACTTACAATTTTCTCAGAAACACAGAAGAAAAAGGTATTGTATATAGTTTGTATATTCACTTCGTTGTGTGTGTAGAAGCTTTTAAAAATACGTTGAATCCTTATTCTAATCTAATCTTCTTCTAATGTATACTTTCGTATTCAAATGTTGTAGTAATTATTCTGTAAGAGCTTCGACATTATTTCTAAATGGACATCGAGAAACATCATAGTTTTTGAGAGCAGGCCGGCATGTTTATTTTCTGAGTCATTAACAAATTGGTACTCTGGAATTACGAGA